TATATACACATACACATACACACACACACTACAAATATATAATATACAAAAATTCTGTGCGTCTCCCGGGGGCGAAGCCCCCCTTGTCCTTAAAACCTAGTGACACCCCTGCTGCTGAAATACCAAGTCGTAGCAGGAATGTCCTGAAGGAGCTGAACGTTTTGAGATGTATGAATTGTTGAAAAACTACAAAGCAAAATAGATGCCAAAAAAACAAATTTCATTTCAACCTAACCTAAATATAGTTATTTTATCTTTTACATAATTACGTCTTGCAGTCTGGAGAAGATTATTTATTAGGTTTTTGTGCCTTTAAATTCAAAACGACGCTTTTACTCTGTCGTTAGAAGTTTTTTAACAACGAGCTGAAAACTCTGCCCTGTTTCTGGGCAAAGACAGAGTTAACCTGCACATGCACACCTGTGCTATAGTTAAGCCAGCTGGAGATTAGGAGCACCTATTGTTTAATGTGCCACAGCTTCTGTCGCAGAACTCAAAGCATTGCACGAATCAATGAATGGGACAAGAAAAGACAGACAACGTGACGTTTTATTTCAGTGTCGTCAGTCTGAACCATCCTGGAGGCTCTAATGGCAGCTTTCTTGGCACTTTCCTGTCTTCTTGTTGTAGCAGCGACAGGCCAGGAAAGTCAAACACTTCATGTACTCTTTGAAGTCGAGCGCGCCATCGCGGTTCTTATCCACCCGCTCCATGGCCTTGTCCAAGTCCGCCGCGCCGAGCTTCTCCTGCAGGGTGCACAGGTCTCATTAGGATGCAGCAAAATGAGAATGATTAAGTAAAATAATATATATATAACAGTATGCTTCTTACTTTGAGCTCAGGGTTTTGGATTTCCTTCTCAATCAGCTTCATCAGTTCATCCTTGCTCAGCTTGCCGTCGCCCTGGGAATGCTCGACGAACGCATCCACGATGTTCTTAATGGCGTCTTCTATACGAGGCTTCGACATGGCTGCAAACATTTAATAAACATTATTTGGTTCCAAATCAATAAAAGTAAAAATCATTTACATTTCTTCATAAAGAACATGTCCTGTTGTGCACTCACCTGTTTGCTCTTGCTGTGCAGATGAACAAACTAAAACAACTGATGGGATCGATGTGAAACGACTGACACAGCCTGGTTTTTATAAGAGCCACTGAAACAAGACGTTGTTCATCTGCTCTTTGTTCTCCGCCCTGTCAGTCTGTTTCACCTGTTTCACCTGTTCTGGTTTAATTATTGGGTTGGTCCTAATTTCTTTTAATTGTCGTTTAACACCGCGCCTTTGTTTGTTTGGCACGTTTGTGCGACTGAATGGAGAACTGGGTTTTCAGAAGGTGGAGTCGTAGATAATTTGAGCAGGGGAAATCCTTCTCTTCAAGGTGCGGCTAGCCGGTTGTAAAGGTGTCAGTCGTTGTGTTGTCAGTGGAAATTTACTGTGAGTTGTTCAGATCAGAGGAAAGGGAAAGAAAAATATGTGTGTGATTGTGCAAGAAAAGTTCCCACACATTTGTCTGTGACCCCATTTTATCAGTGTTTATAAAGTACTACAAAGTGATAGTTGAGTGAAAGTAGAAGTATCATACCAAAAAATTACTTTAATAACAGTTAAAGTCTCCTTTAGGAATATTACTTGAGTAAAAGTCTTAAAGTATCTGATATTTGTTGTACTTGAGTATTAAAAGTCAAAGTATAGATACACAAAAATTCTACTTAAGTACAGTAAAGAAGTATTTGAACTTAGTTACTTTACAACTCTGTTTTTTTATCCATCAGTGCTGGATTGTCTGTTTTGTGCAGAAAACACATCCTGACCCACATTCTTAGAATTTTCACCCGCTTCGGATGTTATCATCCATTAAATGGACGTTATCAGGCGTTATCAGTCCCATAGAATGGCTTCCGATGGTCAGCTGGTTAACACGAGGCATAAAAAAACTGGTTAATATGAGGCTTAAAGCCACTAAGGTTAACTTTAGAGCAAATGACATGGTGAACGCTAAAGACACCGCCCTCCAACGGTTGTATATTGCGGCCTTCCAATACAACAATGGGTTAGGTTAGTCGGAGCAGGAGACCAGGGCTCGAGACCGACATGGACACAAAAAATTTATTACAACATGTTTTGCTTATTTACACATTCATTGTCATTGATATATTACCCCACTAGGGGGCACTGTCGGGACAGTCTGAAGCCTAGAAGGCACAGTAGGGACCATCTGAAGCCGTTGAATGGGACTGATAACGTCCATTTCATGGACTGATAACATCAGAATCCCCTGGAATTTTGATCTTTTGCTTCCAGCGGTGTGTTCAGCTAACGACTGTCACTCAGCCGTCTTAGCAGAAGCTAATAGCTAACTGCTACGATGGTCTTTGTCTCCTTCCAGCTGAAGACGGGACCGACTCAAACCTGATGATGTCAGTTTGTTAGTTAGTTGTTAGCACACTTAAAGCTGGCAAAAAATAATTTAGTAGAAGCTAACTGTGAGTAAAACAAAGTTAATCAGCTAAATGTAAAAATTAGTTCCGCTGTTAGCAGTTAGCTGATTAGCACATTTACATCACTGTTTGCTCCCAAACAGCCAAATTGTTTTGAAATCCTGTAACGCATCTAGTTCTTGTACTTGTGGTAACATATTGGTGGACAAGTGGAGGACATGAGTCAAAAGTTGTTGCCACCAGGTTATTAAAATAGTTTGTGTAAAATCTTATATATATATATATA